TTGTGTGGGTTCGTGTCTTGGCATGAATTCTGTGACCCAGGAGCACGTTTTGAGGCAGGGATTAGGAGCAGCTGGGGCTGGGATGGAGGCAGGGCACTTGGTATACCATTGAATGAAGACAGAAAATCCCAACCCTACGAAGGAAGTAAAGTTCTTTAAACAGGGATGAAGCGATGTTTGGGGTCTGACTATGATGCACCCTGGGAAGTCTCAAAGAAAACAGTTGGGGCCCCAAGGAGGGCAGCCCCCTCTCCCCGACCCTGAGCTCCGGGGAAGATAAATGATTTCCTTCTCTCTAGACATGGTGTGGGATCTGAGCACTCAGAGCTAAGGGCGCAGTGGGTCCGGGCGGGGGCCCTCCTCGGCCCTCCCAACATGGGGGCCAGGAGGTCAGCCCCTCAACCGGACCCCAGCTGGGTCTCAGGGAATGGCGTCCCATAGCGGCCCAGCTTGCTCGTGTTTTCAGGCGGGTGTGCCCGTGTGTGTGTGCATGTGAGATGCCTGACAAGCCCCAGAGAGCCAAAGACCTGAGTGGAGATCTTGTGACTTCCCAAAAGGGGGACTGGAAGGTTCAAGAAGGAGCTGTGGTCAGCCTTGCTCTCCCCTGAGGCTGCAGTAACCACACTAGGCGTAGCCCAGGCCTGCGCCCCATCCCTCCTTCCCTCCTCCGCGCCTCTCCTTTCTCCTTCTCCCCGCTCTGCCCCGCTCCCCAGCCTGCTCCTGGTGACACCGTTGGCCCCTTTCCAGGGCTGAGGGAAGCCAGCGGGGGCCCCTTCCTGGAAGACCACCTGCAGGCCGGCTTGCTGGGAAGGGGCTGCGAGGCGGAGGCTCCCGCCCGCCCTGCAGCCGTTTCCTGGAAGCAGTCGCTGTGGGTATTCTGTTCCTTGTCAGCACTGTGCTTGCAAAGAAAGCAGACACTGTGCTCCTTGTCCTTAGGGAGCCCTGCTCCATCACCCAACACCTGGCTGGACACAGGCGGGAGGCCGGGTCCGCGGGGAGCGGCGCGGGGCTGGGGCCGGACCAGTAAACACACACGGGCGCCAGGCGCTGAAGGCTCCTCCTCCTCCTCCTGCCCGGTGCCTCTGCTAACAGGCACGTGCCAAGCCCCTAGGCTGGGAGGCCCAGCAGTGGGTGCACAGCAAGCTCCTGGGAAGGGGATGCAGGGCGGACCCCCGGGGAGAAGGGTTGGCAGGGCTGTAGGGGACACTGACCATGGGCCCCACATTGCAGAAACCTGACTGCCTGGCTGGAAGTCGGGGGAGATGCCAAGGCTCTGAGGCCGCAGGAGCAGGGTGCATGAAGGCTGGCGTGCGGGGAGGCCGCAGAGCAGCATGTACCCCGAAGCCCGGGGGGAGTGGAGACCAGGCCATGGAATCGAGGAGTAGAAAGGTGGCTTGGAGGCCTCAGAACCGGCTGACCTCCAACAGAGAGAGGGGTCAGCCCTGGGGGAAAGAGGTGCCCAGGGCCCAGCCCTGCCTGGGGGAGCCGCGTATCATAGGCAGCCACAGGATATGTAGCCAGCTCTGAGCACACGGACCCATGGGCAGGGCAGGGCAGGGGAGACAGATAGGGGAGCAAGGAGCAGAGAGGGGGCCTCAGGCTCTCCCAGGAGGTACATTCTCCCAACAGGAGGAAGAGACGGCCCAGGGGTGACTGTGGAGAGCCATGGTGGCAGCTGGGGTTGTGGCAGATGGAAGAGAGGCTGGCGAGGTGAAGGCTCTAGGGCCCACATGCCTGTGGGAGCGGGCAGGCCCAGGGCTCTCTGCCACTCCCCACTCCCACTTGGCTCATAGGCTGGGCCCAAGGGTGGGGTGGGATGAGTAGGAGATGGGGCCCGGGGGGAAGCAGGGCCCCAAAGGACATTTAGAAAAACCGGTTTATTACGCAGGCGGCATTTAGAGCATGTAGCGTGCATGGCGGCGGCCCTGGGAGCACAGAGAGGCACATGCAGGGCCCCCGAGGGGCTCCCCATTGGCCGGTAGTGACATCACCCCTGTGTCAACACTGTGATGTCTGTACCTCCGGCCAGCCAGGGTTTATGGAGCGAGACCCAGCCCGGCCTGGGCCCTCACTCCCCAGGCCCACACACTAGCCCACTGTTCAGGGTCTGGGGTGGTGGCACAGCCTGGGGGTCCTGGCACCGCTGCTCCTCTGCCCACCCCAACTTCCCGGCATGGTGGCTGCCCCCTTTGGGCGTCCCCAACCAGAGAGTGTGGGGCCTGCAGGCCTGCCCTCCTCCTCCTCGTCCCTCTAGCGAGAAACTTGGAGGTCCTGGGGCTGGGGCGCTCACAGCCCTGTGGCACAGGTACATGGGGTCAGGGGGCCCAGAATGGCCTCTGGGAAGGACCTCAGGTGGGCCAGCAGCTCTGGAGGTGCTTCAGGGGTCTGTCTGCACAGGGGCTAGCCCCTCCCAGACCTCTGTGAAGCCAGTACAGGCCTCCCCTCCCTGCCCTGAGCTCCGTCTGGTGCTGCCTGGACTGCACCGTGGGCCACTGGCGAGAGGGCGGACAGGGAAGGGCCACCGTGATGGCTGTTTCTGCCCACCTGGCTGTGTGGGCCTCTCCAAGTAGGGACAACCCTTCTGAGGGCTTGGGGGCATCCTGGGGTTTCCAGGGCCTCCTGGAGCCCTGCGAGCACCTCGGGGGTCTGGCCTGATGCCCCCCTCCACGTCCAGGGCAGGCAGTGGCCCAGAACCCCAGCTTCCCAGCAGGCCAGTGTGCAGTGGTGACCCAGGAGGGGCCTCACCTCCACTGAGGGGCCACCAACCTCTGCCAGGCCACAGAGACCCCGAGGAGTCTGAAGGTTGGAGACCCGGGGCTGGGACCAGATGGCACTTTCCCACAGAGCCGCCCCCAGGCCCAGCTGGGGACACGTCCCCCTTCTCTCCAGACACACCCTGCCTGCCACCATGGCACATCGGCCTGGTGGGGTCTCTTAAGTGCTTGCCACTCTGAGGTGACTGTCCCTTTCCAAAGAGGTTTCTGAGGCCCAGGTGGGATGTGTCGGCCTGAGCAGGAGGATCTGGGCCCCCGGGCGCCGGGGACTGTCTCCTGGGGGAAGGAAGTGCCTGGGAGCATGTGTGCTGACCCGGGGCCGTCCAGGGAGGCCCGTCTGTGGGGCAAGCGGGAAGGGAGCTGCTGGAGAGGCTTGGCTGCCCCCGCCCTGCCTCCCATTCCTTAGCTCCATGCCTGTCAACCTCTGTCACCCAGTGAGTGATGTCCAGGGGCCCTGGAAAGGTCACAGCATGTTTGAGCGGGGTGAGAGAGAGGGGAAAGGCGGGGGCGGGGAAAAGGACGTGGAGGAAGCTCTAGGCCCCAGGAAGGAGAAAGGGGTCTGGGAGGGAGGGAGCCCCTGGGGCCGCCAGGAGGGTCCCTGCCTGCTGCTCCCACCCGGAACCCTCTTCTTAGCTAGCTCCCACGGCCCCAGCCTTTCTGGCCTGTGCTCCCCTCCCCCATCCCCAGCCCTCCTGTGCAACCAGGCCTTGGACCCAAACCATCCTGTCCCCTCCTCTCCCTCACCCTCCCCATGCCGTGGTCTCCATGGGTCAGAGCTGCAGCCTGGCTCTGCCCTGCCGCGGGTCCCCTCCCCTCATCCCAGGCCTAGAGCCTCCAGTCCCGGCGGCCCCCTGCCCGAGGGTGAACAGCCTCACCCTGGGTCGTGGGACAGAGGGCACGTTCACCAAGAGAGGCTCCCAAGGGACACGTGGCTGTTTGCAGTTCACAGGAAGCATTCGAGATAAGGAGCTTGTTTTCCCAGTGGGCATGGAGCCAGCAGGGGGGCTGTGGGGCAGCCCAGGGTCAAGGCCAGGCTGTGGGGCTGCAGCTGCCTTGGGCCCCACTCCCAGGCCTTTGCGGGAGGTGGGAGGCGGGAGGCGGCAGCTGTACGGCGGCCCCAGGCGAGGCTCTCAGCCCTAGTCGCTCTCCGGGTGGGCAGCCCAAGAGGGTCTGGCTGAGCCTCCCACATCTGGGACTCCATCACCCAACAACTTAAGACTGAATTTCAAGTGTTCTGTGACTTGGGCAGACACAGCCCCTGCCCGAAGGGGTTGCCAGCCTAAGACAGTGGGGACAACGTGGGTGGCGGGCGATGGGGGAGACAGACAACAGGACCGAGGGTGTGCAGGACACTCATGTCACTCGTGCACACCAATGGGGGGCATAGGAGGCTGGGGAGCAGATAGACCGGGCTGGGCTGGGCGGGAAGGACAGGCAGATGGGATCCCAAGGACATGGAATTTCAGACCTTCTGCCCCCGCACTCTCTGCTGAGCCTAGGAACCTCTGAGCAGCAGGAAGGCCTTGGGTCTAGAGCCTAGAAATGGACCCCCACCTCCACCTGCCCAGCCTAGGCCCCCGGCATTGAGGGGTGCTCAGAAAAAGCTACCCAGACTTCCTGTGGGAGGAAGCCACTAAGCAGGATGGACACCATCGCCCACTCCACCCAGCCCTGCCCAGCACAGCCCTGCCCAGCCTAGCCTTGCTCTGCCCAGCCCTGCCCAGCCCTGCCCTGCCCTGCCCAGTCCAACCCTGCCCTGCCCAGTCGAGCCCTGCCCAGACATGCCCAGCTCTGCCCTGCCCTGCTCAGTCCAACTCTGCCCAGCCCTGCCCAGTACAGCCCTGCCCGGCCATGCACAGCCCAGCCCTGCCCTGCCCAGCCCTGCCCAGCCCTGCCCTGCCCTGCCCAGTTCTGCCCAGCTCAGCCCAGCCCTGCCCTGCCCAGCCCAGCCCTGCCCTGCCCTGCCCTGCCCAGGTCTGCCCAGCCCAGCCCAACATGACTTCTCTGGCTGGAGAGCACAGGCTTGGCCTTAGAAAGAGGCTGGCAAGGAGGGCCGAGGCCACCAGGCCACTGCATGCTCACAGGTCAGACAAGCTCAGAGCCTGCTCCCCTGCCACCCGTCAGAGCTGTCACTGCCAACATGCTGTGGATATACGTGGCTTCAGGGCTGCTGGCTCCAGGCTGCCCCCGCCCCAGCTCCCGAGGCCACCCCTCTTATGCCATGAACCCTGTGCCACACCCACCTCTGAGCTGTCCCCACTCCTGCCTCCTGCACCCCCTTGAGCAGCCCGCTGTGTGTTTCACGGGTGTCTCAGCAAGGAAGGGAAGCTCTGCAATCTTGCCAGTCAGGGTGCTGTCGACTGAGTAAATGCCCCTGTGCTGTGCCCGAATGTCCCCATCCTTTTGCAAACGACCGTCGGCCTGCCACCTTCCCGGTGGGTGCCTGCCACTGACCAGGATCCTGCACTCCTATGCGGTGGGAGAGGCAGACCCGGGCTCACCTCAGCCTCCCCACAAGCCAGGGAGAGGGGCTGCCCAATGGCGGGAGGCCCCCATGGGTCCCAAATGGCAGCTGCCCACACTCCTACCCAGGGACTTTGTCTGTGACGAACAATAAGGAATAAGGAAGGGAGTGAGAAAGAAGGAAGGAAAGGCGGTGGGAGGCGTTGCGGGTGGGGGAGGATGTTTGGAAAGTTCCAGAAAAGAGTCACTTCACCAGAAAGGCCAGAAGCTCCCCGCGCCCCCCAGTGCCTGCTTGGCTCCGAGGTGAAGGGATGGGAGCGTCGAGGCGGGCGTGGGTGCCAGCTGTTCTGCGTGGGTCTGTTTCCTTCAGCTCCTTTCCGGGCCTCGCCCTCCTCTTCCCGCCACACATACACTTTTTTCCTTTTTAAATTGTTTTATTTGGGGCCAGGTGAGGCGGCTCACACCTGTAATCTCAGTATTTTGGGAGGCCAAGGTGGGCAGACAGCTTGAGTCCAGGAGTTGGAGACCAGCCTGAGCAACACAGTGAGACCCCATCTCTACCAAAAACCAGTCAGGCGCAGCGGCAGGCACCTGCATCCCCAGTTCTGTGGGAGGCTGAGGCGAGAGGATCGTGCGAGCCCAGGGCGTTGAGGCTGTAGCAAGCCATGATCGCACCACTGCACTCCAGCCTGGGCAAGAGAGTGACACCCTGTCTCAAAAAAAAAAAAAAGTAGAAAAATTTATTTTTAAAAATCGATTTAACACTTGAATGCTACAATTGTCCAAGGAGGAGCAGAGAGCCCGTGTCAGACAGCCTGAAGCCTGATCGTCTGCGATCAATGGCCCTGCTGCCAGCTGTGTGTGGCAGTTTGGCCTGGCCTGATGCCACTGTCCTTCTTGGCACCAGCTCACAGTCCGTGCCCATAACAGATATGGAGCACCCAAGGAAGGGCAGACCCAGTCCCCACCTGCCCTGGGTCTGAAGATCTCCCAGGAGGTGCCATGGGGTGCCTTGGGCGGGAGGGGCTGGCCGATAGCCTTGAGGAAGTGGCACGGATATGCAGAGAAGGGCATGTCCCAAACTCGGGGGCACTGTGGCCTCCAGCTGCCAGGAGACAGGTGTGCTCTGACCACCAGAACTGCAGGGCCGGACTAGGGGAGACGTCCCTGCTCAAGTGCACATTTGCCTGATGGCAACTGCTCTCGGGTTCGCGGGTTCCAGGCTCTGCCCCGGTGCCTCATGCAAACGGGTCCCATTCTACAGATGAGGAAACTGAGGCACAGGGTGATTACGGCTGTCCCTGAGCTCCTGCAGCCAGGAAGGTGACACACCAGGATATGCTCCCAGGCTGCCCGCTGGGCTCGGTAACATAGTCTCAACTGCCCCGTGACACTGTGTGTGTCTGTGCTTGTGGGGAAGGCAACCAGAGGCCCCCTTTCCTCCACGCGGTGAGCCTACCAGCAGGGAGACAGTCCTCAGGTGTGAGGATGAGCCTCGTGGTAGGCACAGAGAAACAGGAGGAACTTTCTAGAAGGTGAAGGCTCCCATGGCTGGGACTCTTGGAGAAGGTCAGATCTCTGTCTGTCCACTCCTGCCCACTCCCCAGCACAGACAGAGCGAGCAGGACAGAGGGTTCAAAGTCCCAGGATACTGCAGAGCTCAAAGGAGGGCAGAGAGCACCGCCCCGCCTGGGCGCCGGGGGAAGGTGGGTGGGGTGCTCAGGGGCCCCTGGCGGTCCTGAAGGTTGCCTCAGAGAGGTGTGGGCTTCTCCTCCCTCCCACACACAGTGTCTCTGAGGATGAACTGCCGTGTGCCCCGCGGGGATGCCGCGTCCTGCCGTGTGCCCCGCGGGGATGCCGCGTCCTGCCGTGTGCCCCGCGGGGATGCCGTGTCCTGGCCCTCGCTGGGCACCTCTGGGACGAGGTCAGCTGAGCCTGCCGTCCTGACTCAGAAACACCATCTAACTCTCTAAGTCCCTTCTCAGTGAGACGGGGGGTCTTGCACCCACCTCCCAACCCCCATGCACCTGAGGAGGTCCCCGTTCCCCTACTCTGTGGCTCCACCACGTTCCACGCGTCCTGAGGGACAGAGGGGACTGTGAGATGATCCTCAAGGCTGGTTTTCCTCTTTCACCCAGGACAGGCCCCAGCAAATTCTCACCTCCAGAGGCCAGGTCTGCCTGGAAGGACTTAGGAAATACAGCCCTACTTCCATCCAGCACACCGACCCAAGAAAGTGCCTCAGAGCCCTGGGGCCTGGGGGGCCTGGCCTTGGTCTCAAGGCATCAGCTCCACCTGGAAAGGAGTGAACTCAAGCCAGGACGCCCCATCTCCACGGCGGAAACGGTGCTGCCGGCTGCTCCCTCCTGGGGACTCTGGGCCTGGAGCTCCTGTGGGAGTTCGGGGGATAGCTGAGTCCCACGGAGGTGCCCCTCTCCTCCCCGCCCAGTGGAGCTTGGGGTGGGGGCAGGCGAAGACAGGGCAGGAAGCATGGGGCATTCCCCCTCCCCACAGCACTGAGAAACCAGGGGAGCATCCAGAAAATGGCGCCCACAGGCACCAGCTTCAGGTGACCCTAGCCCAGCCAAAGACCCAGGGCCAGTGTGTGCCACAAAGCCCGTGCCTGCTTTGCTGCTTTGCCTGCTCCCTCCTGCCTGGGACCACCGTGGCGAGGGGAAGGGAGAGTGGTGGCCCTCTCCTGACTCCTGAGGCCTGTGGTCCAAGCTCCCAGCCCTCAGGCAGGCCAGGGTCTAGACACTGCTTCCCCAGACACATCCCCCAGTCCCAGCCCACAGGCTTCCTGCAGGATCCCTTGGTGCACCTGGGGGCAAAGCACAGTGAGCAGGAGTGCAAAGAAGCTTCGTCAGGAGGGCAGTCCCTACCACCCTTGGACCCCCGGGTGGTCCCTGGGGTCCTGGGATGGACCCTGGGAGGGACGGTGCAGGGGCTGCTTTTTGCTCCAAGAGGACAAAGTGCCACATTGCCTCCGCAGAGGGCTGCCCAGCTGGGAGGACCCACAGTGCAAGGCCGCACAACCCCCCAGGAAGCCTCAGAGCCCTCAGGTTCCAAGCCGAGGCTGTGGGCGGGAACCCCTGTGCGAGCCCTCTGGAAGAAAAACCTCACAGCTCCGGCGGAGGAGGGCCCCACCCGCTCCCAGAGCCCAGCGTGTAAGGGAGGGGTGGTGCCCACATGAGGCCCAGGGAAGGGTTGCGGCTGGGACGCCCCCTCACCGCCCCCAGATATCCCAGGCAGCCCTTCCCTCCACAGAGAGACCCACTGGGCCTGACCCTGCATTGGGCACAGGGTTGAGCCAGGGACGGCCCGTGGGAGAAAGACGGCTTCAGGGGCCACTGGCCGGGCCAGGCGGGTCCTTCCCCAGTTCTGGGTGGCAAATGGGGTGAGGCCAGAGCCTTCTGGCCAGGGAAGACATTGGCCTGACTGGCACGGGCAGCAAAGGAGGGTCAGAGGCCACTCTGGCCTGGAAGAGTCTCCAGCCACCTGGACGGGGGTGGCCAGGCCTGGTCCCTGCCCCCACTCTCCCAGGGGTCGGGGCAGCCGGGCAGAGCCAGTAAGTGTTTGTTTTCAGATGACATTTGTAAAGAAAAACAGCCCTCCCACTCTGCTTGACCCGGTGTCTGGAATGTGGGGAGGCAAACAGCTGTACCCTTCCCAGACCCTGCACAGCCCCTGGTGGGGGCAGGGCCCTGGTGGGGGCAGGGCCCGGAGGTGCAGCCTGGGGAGGCACCGGCCATCGTGGTCAGGGCGCGGCAGCCAGGCTCTGGGCTCTGTTCCGGGCCTCACTGTGTCCCCGGTGGGGTGCCGCCACCTCCCCCCGAGCCAGGGCCCCGCCGGTCAGACACCCGCAGCGACAGCTTGTCTTGGCTAGCTGGCTACAGCACCTCGCTGGAGTCCAGCAGACACACGCTCCCGTGCGCACGCCGCGCCCCAGGCCAGCCCTCACGCCACTGCCCCTGTCAGACCCCCGCCTGCGGTGGGCTCCTGTCTGCCTTGGCCTGCCCCAGCTCTCTCCGCGCCCTTGCCTCCAGGGAGTCCCCCTGGAGGACTCCAGCCACCCAAGCTCAGCAGGGCCAGCCCGAGCCCCTGCCCCACCCGGCCTGTGTGAAGAGTCCTCAGTCCCCTGATCCCCCAGACCCTCCAGGCTGGGTCCCTGGGGCTGGGGGAAAGCCGGCTCCAAGGTCCCTGGCCTGGATGATTTCCGGGAGGCCCGTCCCCTGCCACGTGCCTGGTGACCCTTGCTCCTGCCTGGCTGCCCGTGGTCCTCTGTGCGACCCCCACCCCCAGCCCAGGAACTGGACAGGAGACTCTGAATGGACGACAGCAGAGCCATCCGAGGGCTGCCCCTGACCCTGGCCCTGACCCTGCCCTGGAGCCTGGTTTCCAAATCTTGCCTCATGCTTTCGCCAGACCCCCTTGGCCCCTTCCCCTGACCCTGGAATGCCCCTGGGGCTTCCTGGAAACAGCCCCTCCTTTGCTTACTATTGGGTGCCAGACCTCACCAGCACCGACCGCCTGAAGGTGCGGGGACATCCCCCCATTCCCTCTCCTGGGGGTCCCATCGTCAGTTCCCCGTGGGCAGGATATCAGAAGAGTTCTCTGCACAGGTCCTCCGCCCCTTCAGGCACGGGAGAGGGCGGCTCAGGGACCGGCGGCAGATGTCGGTGCCTGCCCCTGCAGCGGGGTGCCCCGTGCTGAGACAGTGCGCACGGGGGACACTCCGGGCCTCGGTCCACTGTCCATGTGGCAAATGAGGTGCTCTGCGGGGCTTCTAAACTCTTCACCCTGGCCTCCCCATGGGTCCCTTCCCTTCCCCTTGGGGGCCCTGGCCCCAGGTCCCCAAGGCCTGGACCTGCCTCTGCCACCCTCAGAGCAAGGATGCACTGCAGAGGGAAAGGGGCTGCGACTCGGCCCCAGAGCTCCGGCTTCCCGTCTCCCAGCCCACAAAGCACTAAAGTCCATAGGTCCTGGGACATCAAAGGCCCAGGAAGCTCCTTGTGCTGAGTTAAGCGTAGTGGGGCAGACGCATGTAGCTGGCATTTCCCACATTTACAGCTGCTCTGCTACGGGCTGGGAATCGGCTTCCCCTGCACCCCGGTCATCCCTTGTCCAGAGGGACCCGTGGGAAGGCCAGGGTGAAGAGTTTAGAAGCCCCGCAGAGCACCTCATTTGCCACAGGGAGGGTGGACCGAGGCCCGGAGTGTCCCCTGTGCATGCTGTCTCAGCACGGGGCACCCCACTGCAGGGGCAGGCACCAACATCTGCCGCTGGTCCCTGAGCCGCCCTCCCCTGTGCCTGAAGGCCCAGCACTTCGAGGGCTGCCTGGGCTGAGGACCTTCGCAGAGAACTCTTCTACACCCCACGGAGGAGGCTGAGGGGTAGAGGCAGCTGCGGGAGCCCCAGGGCCACCAAACAGGCACGCCTGCCCCTCTCCTCGGTGGGTGCAGAAAGCTCTTAAATGGTGGAAAAGCAAGGCATGGCCGCCTTTCACAGGCACTGCTCAGAAAGTTCCAGAAGGAGACAATGGCATGGAGGGAGCAGGGCCCAGGCTGGTGGGGGCGCAGGGATGAGGCCAGTGAAGGCCACGGGTCAGGGGGGGCGGTGCTCAGAAGCCAACGACCCCATCCTTATCGCCTGTGTCTCTGCACACAGCGTCTCGTCTGCAAAGTTAGCTGAGCAAACGCCAGGAGCCAAGGGTCGAGGCAACGCCATCCGTGGGGCCACTCCACACCCCCTCTGCTGGCCCCACCAAGACCTGCTTTCTTGGTTGAAATCCAACTCACAGTCTGCCCCCGGGGGCCCAGCAGCCCTGCCCACTGGAACAGCTGCACCCACAGTGCCCAGCTTCCCAGGGCGACAGGGGCTGGGTGAGCCTTCCTGTCCCCACTGGAGCATGGCCGGAGTGATTTTCTGCTTCTGCTGCAGACCATCCCGGGCCTGGTGGGAGCAGCTGTAATCGCATTATCCCATTATGCCTCCACCGGGCACTGGGATGGGGACAGGGCTGCAGGATACGACTCCATTTACCTATCACCAGTGGAGCCCTAGGGGCTCTCCTAGGTCCATGGGGAGGGGTGGCCATCTCTTTAGGCCCAGGGACCCCAGGACAGAGGTAGAAAAGCACAGGAGAATTAAAGAGTTAAGGCCAGAAGGGGCCAGTCCGGCCAAGTGGAGCAAAGCTGTCCACCGGTGGCCAGGGCATGACTGAGGGGCTGTGTGGGGAACAGAGGAGGCGCCTCGAGCCCCCCGGCCGCTCCGAGCAGCTGCTGATCTTACCCAGGCCCATGCCCGTGATGAGCTGTGTAACTACCTCCAAGATCAGTCGGGAGGCTCGGCCCGGGGGCCTGAGCAGCGGTCGGGAGGCTCGGCCCAGGGACCATGCAGACCTAACAGCTCCAGCCCCGAGGCAGGGCAGTTGTGCTCCAGAGGGCTCCCACGGCCACGCTGTTCCTCCCAGGTGGACACCCTCGTGGCACGTACACCCCTGCTCTCAGCCCTCTCCTTCACTGGATGGAGAGACTCAGGACCCCCAGAGGTGGGTAGCGGGCAGAGGAGGTGGAGCTGGTCTGAGATGCAAGAGGTGGCCCATGGATTCTAGGAGCAACCGGCGACTTCCGAGGTCCCCCACCCACTCAACACACATTCCCAAACCCCATTTTACAGATGAGGATGAGAGGCCCAGCACAGGGGCCCATGTCTCTGTCACCAGGCAAGGTCGGGGGGATCTAGGGCCAGAATCTGGCTTCCCGCTCCGGCCGGGGGTCAGAGGTCTCCGGTTGGCAGCCGAGGCCAGCGGGACACAGGCTGAGGGATAGGGACAGCTGCTTTCTCGGCACAGACAAGGCTCCCCTCCTCATGCTGCAGACCCCGGCTGCCCCATCAGTCACGGCCCACCCAGGACCGTGCAATCATCCCCCACTTCTCCTAATCCTCCTGCCAGCTTCTTCCCAAGAGTCCAAGCAGTTGGATGCATTTTCTAAATTCTCAGGCCACTGCTGTTTCCTCCTCAAATTCCTTGCCCCCCACCCGCGGCCCCCTCCCAGCCATGGGAAAGGACTGCTGCGGCCTCCCCACAGGCCCATGCAAGGGCGGGGCTGCGTCCAGGCAGCTGTGAGGTACTGGGACCCAGGGGTAAGAGCCCCGATTACAGAGGCGTCATGGGAAAGCGGCGAGGGGAGGCCACCCACAGCCCCCACCACAGCCCCGCTCCACGCCCTCCCTGGATCTCTGGCCCTGGAGAGAATCAGATGGGACCCCCAGCAGCAGTCACTTGAGCCCCCCTGCCACTGGCTCTGCTGAGGATGCCCATTGGGCCATGCTGTGGCCACCTGGCTTGGAATGTGGGCACCAAGGTATCGGCCCAGATTCCTACCCATCAGGGCACCAGCATAGGGCCGAGCCAGTGCCACAGAACCCCCGGGCTGCACAGACATGTCTGCACGTACCACAAACCGGGAGGGAGGGGTGCTGCCCAGGGCTCTGTGCCCTCCCGGAAGGGGCTACAGTGGGGCTGATTGTCAGGTGGTGGCTCTGACGCAGGAGAGGACAGATGGATAGAGCCCGAGGGCAGCCTGGCCAGGTGCACACAGTGGTGGCTATGACGCCTTCTCCCACGGCTGTCGCTCTGGGTCCAGGAGTGAAGATCTCCAGGCTCCAGAGAACTAGAAACAGCCGGCAGGCTCGCTGCTGATAACCGGGCCTTCTCCACCTGGTGGGGAGTGATGAGGCAAGACCGGATGGCGGGCCCCAGGCCTCCCCTCTCCTGGGACGGCCAGCTCTCCTCGCCTGTGCACGTCTCAATACGTCCATGATTACGCAACCAGCCCTTATCGCTGGATGTGAGGATCTGGAGGCCAGGCGGGGCCCTGAGGCCACAGCCTTCCCGCATGGGTGAGCGGTGAGCTGTGCAATTAGCCCTCAGGCCATCCTCACCAGGCCCTGCCTTTGTTCCTCCACCTGCCAGGCAACATCCGCTGGCGGTCTCCCACAGCCTGGCCAGCCTGCTCTTTCTCCCTCCACTCTGACCCCTTCCTCCTCGGGGCCCTGACATGCGGCTGTCTGGCACCCATTTTCAACTACTCTTTTCTTTCTTTTGAGTTTCACTCTTGTTGCCCAGGCTGGAGTGCAACGGCACGATTTCGGCTCACTGCAACCTCTGCCTCCCAGGTTCAAGCGGTTCTCCTGCCTCAGTCTCCTGAGTAGCTGGGATTAGAGGCATGCACCACCACGCTCAGCTAATTTTGCATTTTTTGCAGAGACAGGGTTTCACCATATTGGTCAGACTGGTCTTGAACTCCTGACCTCAGGTGATCTGCCCGCCTCGGCCTCCCAAAATGCTGGAATTACAAGCGTGAGTCACCGCACCCGGCCTTCTTTTCTTTTTTCCTGTCCTCAACTATCCTTTTCATTAAAGAATTCAGAATTCTCTCCCCTGCCTGCCAGGATGGAACCCAAAACCACGTAGGCAGTGGGCCTGCCCGAGCTGCGGCCCTGCGCCTGTCCCCGACAAGTCACTCTCCATTTTCCATTCCATCATCCTCTCTCTGCACCTCAAGCACCGTGACCCCTCTCCTGCCTGACTGACCTCTCCGTCTCCAAAGGAGACCCTTTCTTTTGCCTTCCCGCCCTCTCCAGGCCCGCCGTCTGCCTGGGGGCTGCCCTGGGGGCTGCCCTGGGGGCTGCGCTGTGTCTCCCACTGCTGTCCACACGTGCTGCCTGCTCTGTGCCTCAGAGGCACTGGAGCTCACGTACTCGGGGCGGGTGGCCTTCGAACACTGTGAGTCCCCACATCTTGCCCCTGGAGGCCACAGCTGCCCTGGGCCAAAGCTGAGCCGCTTGCTCTGCAGGGACCAAGGGCAGGGCTGCCTCGAGGGCTTTGGGGCAGGAGAGAGGGAGCGAATCTCCTGGAGGCAGATGAGGACCACAGGGAGGCTGCAGGCCTTGAACCCCTCCCAGAGAGCCAGTGGAAGGATGTTGCCTGGTGGATGGGAGATGGCAGACGGGTGCTCTGGGGGCTCCTCCCTCCCTATAGCGCCTTGGACATGTTTTGTTTTATCATGGTGAAAATACGTAACAAAACTAGCCACTTTAACCATTGAGCCATTTTAGCCATTGAGCCACTGAGACATTTGAGCCATTCAGCCATTTTAGCCACTGAGCCACTGGGCGCACACATCAGTGGCACTCAGTGCTTTCTCACTGCCACGCAGCCATCGCCACCGTCCACCTCGGAACTCCTCCCTCTCCCAAACTGAAGCTCCCTGAAGGTGCCCAGCCGACTTGCCAGCCTCCTTGCCAGTAGACGAGATGGGGAGGCAGCCCTGCTCAAGCAAAGAGGCAGAAGTCTTGACTGTTCTCCCTGTGGTCCCACGGGGAGCACCTGCAGCAGGGCCCTGGCTGGACAGACGGCCACGAGGGGGGTGGTGTAGTGATCGCGTGCCCTGGCCTGGGCAAGAGAGTGGCGCCCTTGGCCTGCCCAGCCCCTGCCCTGCAGCCCGCCTGACAGCCGAGGGGAGCTTCACCTTCCAGCCTCTGGCTGTCATTAGCTGCTCCCGACGGGAGGTGGGACGGGCAGGGGAGACTCGTCCCCGCAGCCAGTGAGGATCCAGGCTCACGTGGGACCACCTGGACCTCATTATTCTTAAGTGGTCCAGTCTGAAAGTTTGAGAAGAGGGGAGGAAAAAACTGCCAATCCCCAGGCCTGGAGAGCCCCACCCCCTCTTCCAGCCATCACTGAAGCCCCGGGGCCTTCAGCCACAACCGAGAGCTGAGCCGGGCCCACCCCAGGGCCCAGGAGGGGCATCTGCAGAGGGTTCGGCCCCAGAAGGACTTGGAGGTCAGGCAAGTCAAAGGGAGTTCAGAGCTTAGGAGGGGTGAGAGGTCAGACTCTGGTCCTTTCTCATCAGCTGGGGTCCCTCTGTCCTTCCAGAAGGTCACCTGGGGTGTCTACAGTCCGGGCCAGTCTGACAGGTGGGATGGTGCTTCCCAGCAACCCCACCTTGGGGAGAACCCTGCTGCTTCTCCCTGCTCTCCACCTCCGGCACAGGCCCCGGGGAGCCTCCAGCTGATGACAACGCTGAGTAGACTCTGGGGCCAGCATCTCAAGGCACCCAGGACCCCAGACCATCCAGCCACACCCCAGGCTATGAAGAGGGGGAGCTCCGGGGAGGCTGGGGTGCCTTCAAGCTGCATCCTAGCAACATCCTCGACCTGCAAGAGGGACACTTGGTCTCAGCATGGGGAGGACGTGCTCAGACCCCATGGATAGGATTTGCTCAGACCCCATGGGGAGGACATGCTCAGACCCCAGGCAGGCATCCTGAGTGTGCCTGGCCTGGACCCCAGGCTGGTAGCTCCTACCTCTCACGGAGCAGCAGAGGCTGGCAAGAGGGACTCAGAGTCCTGGCTGGGGGCAGAGGGCCCTGCATGGCTCTGGGGTCCTGACCCAATCCTGCATTTCCACAGAGAGCTGCCTCAGCACCCATACTGAGGGTCCGTGCACCCCCTGGTGTATTGGGGACCCTTCCCCCACCCCACCCCCCATCGCCACTGGGACACCGGAATGTGCAGGATGGCTGTGAGGGGAGAGGCAGGCCCGGGGCGCGGCGGGCAGGGCTGGACGGGGCTGGGGATCTGTAGGAGGCTGGCCAGGCAGATGGGACGTGTCTGGACCCTTAGCACCATCACCTCTGTGTTTTGACCACCGAGCAAATATACCCTAAATGAAGCACAAATTCGCCAAGGGGACAGTCAACTCTGTCCTTTCTTCTTAATCCCTCTGGCTTAGGGTTTCCCAGCCTGGACAGCCTGTCCGAGGGGAAGGCTGCCCAAGGGCACACGGGCATCCGTCTGGGGACATTCAGGCAGTGATCAATCCCCGGCCGCCCTGGTGTGTGCTCAGCACTGTGGGCCTTTTCCCAGCCAGCTAGTGGGGGAGCGGCCACTGTGGCTCCCTGAGTCTTAGTGAGATGGTCAAGGATGGGACAAAGATGGAGACCCACATGCGGCCGCATCCATGGGCAGAGGCGGCGGAATACAGGACAGCTCTGCCATCCCCTCAGCCGAACCATGAAAAGCAACCCTGTCCCCTAAGGCCCCAGTGCCCACCTGGAGGCCACCATGAGCTGGAGCCCAGCACAGCCGCCACCACCACGTCTTGGCTGTCCAGCTCAGGACAGGTCACTTCCAAGGCGTCCAGGCTGGAGCTCTGGGGGTGGAACAGCATAGCTCCTGAAGAGTCACTTGTCCAGCCCTGGCCATGGAGGGACAGGTGAGAGCCCACCGAGGGCTCTGAGGACTCCAGGAGGGACCAGCTGAGGACACCGGTGGGGGTGATGCCTCCCGCTTCAATGGCCGCTCGCAGGAGGCAATCCCAGAGCCCCGCTCCGTGGGCCACCAAGTACCCGGAGCCTCATTTAGAAATGGCCATCCCTCCCCACTGGCCCCGGCTGGGATCCTGGTGCTCCAAGAGTCCTGCTGTGGTCCCAGGGAGGAGCAAACCCCTCCCAATCAGGAAGCATCCTCAACCCCATCTAATTCCAGACGCTGCCTCCCACCTTGGCTTTCGGAGATGGAGAACAGAGCCGGCCCCTGCCCAAGGTCCCGGAGCCCAGGAGGGCGCCCCTCCGAGCAGACAAGCTCGCCCCTGCTCCCAGGACGAGCAAGCCCCTGCCGAGGCTCTGCTGCTGCTAATTGGTCCTTGGGATAAGCAGACCTGTCCAGGAAAGGACACCCTGATCTCCCAGCCCCAACCCCATCTGGCTGGGAGTTCTGACTTAAGCAAATAATCCGTCCAGGGAATTGAAGGCTCAACAGAATCGCCCGCTACGGATCCGGTCTCGGTTCCTCCACCCTCCTCCTGCCACCTCCACCTGGGCACTTGAGATCAACAGCAAGGCTTTGCAGTCGTGAGAGCTTCCCTCAGATGCCCTCCAGCCTCAACCCAGAGGAGATAGGTGCCTGGGCCGTGACCCCTCACACAAGAGGACCAAGCCCAGAGAGGAGACGGGGAGCCATTGGCCCAGACAGCTGGGGTCTGCGATGGACTCAGTGAGGTCCGGCCCTCCTCACTCCAAGGGGAGCTGGGAGCCGACCTGGTGAGGGAGGACGTCCTGGGAAAATGATAGGAATCAGGGAATGGCCCTGGGGCTCCAGACCTCTTCTGATGGAGTTATTCAAGGCCCATTGGCAGGGCTGGGCATCCTCTGGACCCTCGGGGGATAAGGTCCCCTCACTCCACCACAGAGTAGCATCTGGGCACCTACCTCCTGGCCATGGGCAGAGCAAAACTCTCTCCTGGACCCCAGTGCCCAGAGCCCTGGCCTTGAGAAGTAGCTGTGTGTCCTCAAGAGCCGCCCCAGACTGCCCCCCACCACCTTGCAGGCAGCTCGCCCTCCCACCCCACCAGCTGCAGGGTGCGGACACGAGTCTTTTACATCCCCAAATGCTCCTTCCGCGCCTGCTTCAGGAGGGCAGTCCTGCCTGCTCAGAGCCCAGCCCTGCCCAAACTCCTGGCCAGGGGACACACGGGCATTAGAACATGGCATCCTGGTTCTGTTCTATGTTCAGGAAGATGACACCCATTCGGCTGAAGGGATGGCAGAGCCCCTCTCCCCACAGCCCCCTCTGCAAGTGCAGCTCTCCTTTCCTCTCCCCGCATGCCTCTTCCCGAGGGCGGCCCCCTCTCTCCATCAGGATCACCCCTCCTGGGCCTCCGGGGTGCACTGTTTCCCCCAAGCCCTCCCTTCCTCCCTCAGGGTCAGGCCCTTTCCTCCAGGCCGCTCTCTGTCTCCTGGTCTCTGCCCTCTCCCAAAACTCATTCTATTTCTCTACATGTCTACCTGGTTCCCCACCCGTCTCCATTCTCCCAGTCTCCCGCCTGCCAGGCTGGCCCTGGCCCCAGCCACTTGGCAGCCTCCTCCTCCTCCCAGAACCTTCTCTTTCCTTCCTGGTCCCATCTCAAACTGCAGCAAGCTGGTCAGAAGGTGAGACCAGGCTGGGAGGAGCTCTGGGCCATGGAGATGGTGGCCGGGGGAGGTGTGGGAGGTGGAAGGACAGGTGGGCCAGGTGGGGAGCAAGGTATCCTGCCATGGGAAGGGCTGGAGGAAACATTGTATCCAGGGATGGTCAGAGTTCACCTGG